CAGTGCGCCACCGGGCCGGCCCTAATGTTTTCATTTTTGACATTAAAGTTTTTAATTTCCCTAGAATTCATTTCTGTATATGATGAAGTGTAGAAATCGAACTTCTCCTGCCAAAATATCTACCCTAAACCATTTAACAAATAATCTAACCTTTCCCTAATGATTAGAAAATGATACCTTTATCAATATCATACCTTTTTCATATATTTGGATCAATTTTGGGATTTTTATTTGTGTCACTGATTTGTCTAAATTTCATGGCACCCATACTAAGCTATTTTAATTAGTATGGGTTTATAACATATTACAACACTGGATATGGCCAAGTGCTCCCTCATTTTATACTTTGTCCTCAAAATGTTTTGGGAAATCTTTGCTCACTAATACTTCTAGATAGAACATAAAATCTGAATCGGAGTCAAATTCAAATTGCACAATAACTTAGGGAAAAATGACATTCTTAAAATGTTCCATTAAAAGCATGTTAAAATTTTAACTCTCTCCATATAGTAAAATATTTTTTACATATAATTTAGAAGTTTTCTTCATACAAGTCTCTTGTATTACTTTAATTTTTTTTTACTTTTCAGGTACTTATATACCTATAAATGAAAGTTTTTCTGGATGATACTAACTAGCTATTGCTAGAAAAGCCTATGACCTATGCGAATATGTTTTACAGCTACCCTCTCCCTGTGTTTTTTGGGTCTAAGAACTTTTCACTTGATTTTCTTGTATTTTTAGATAGACAAAAATACTATCTACAAATAATGTTCAATTAGTTTTTGTGCTTCCAACATTTTCATCTCATTTCTTATTTCATTCTCTAGAAAGGTAGTAACAGGAGCTAAAACTTATACATCATCAGCCAGGTGACAATCTCAAGAGTACTTTACATATATTAATCCTTACAAAAATTCTAGAAGTTAGATAACCATCCTAGTAGACCATCTTAAGTTGAGGAAATGGAGTTATGCCCAGGGTTACAAAGCTACAAGTGGCAAAGTCAGGATTTTTAGAATGTCTAGAAAAAAGATTATTTTATACTTGCTTTCTCCTTTAATCCATGGATTCAAGAAGTTATAATAATAGATTTAATAGTTATTGCAATNATCCTAGTAGACCATCTTAAGTTGAGGAAATGGAGTTATGCCCAGGGTTACAAAGCTACAAATGGCAAAGTCAGGATTTTTAGAATGTCTAGAAAAAAGATTATTTTATACTTTCTTTCTCCTTTAATCCATGGATTCAAGAAGTTATAATAATAGATTTAATAGTTATTGCAATAGATTTAATAATATTCAACAAGTTAATAATCCTGGGATAAAATTTATTTTAATACAGAGCTAGATTGCATTTGCTACTGATTTATGAAGGACTATTTAAAGAATATTTGTAAATGAGAGGCTGGTGTTTTCTTAACAATTTTGCTAACTTTGGTATGAGGGAGCGGGACATGGAGGTAAATGTTTCTACTTGAGCTGTCATTGTTCTTTGAAATATTTAACTTTTTTCCCCAAAACTTCTGAATACCTGTATGCCCTTTACTAGATTTACCCATTNATTTAACTTTTTTCCCCAAAACTTCTGAATACCTGTATGCCCTTTACTAGATTTACCCATTGTTAATATCTTGCCCCATTTGCTTTCGCTCACTCACTGTCTGTATATATACATACATAAATTGCACACATACATTTTGGGGATAAACTATTTGAAATTGAGCTGCAGAGGTCCTGACCCTTCATCTTTAAATAGCTCTGCAATCAGGACTTTTTTTTACATAACCACAATACCATAATCACAACTAAGACAATATTAATTCAATATTATTATCTAATATGTAGTCTATATTATAATTTCCCCAACTAAATAAATGTCTTTTATAATTCCTTCTCCAAAGATCCAATGAAAGTTTACACATTATCTTTAGTAATCACATCTCTGTAGTCCCTGTCTTATTTTGTGCTTATAACATTGACTTATTAGAGTAGTCTAGGTCATCTTATAGGATATTCCTTATTCCGACTGTTTCTTCATGATTAGATTCAGGTTAAATATTTGGCAAAAACACTACTTAGGTAACTTATAGTTGTGTACTTATAGTATCATGTAACAAGGTACATATTGTCAGGCTGTCCCATTAGCAGTGTTACTGAATTTGATGACTGATTTAAGGTGATTACTACCAGATCTCTCCCTTTATAATACAAATAATCTACAGAACTTAAATTTTAAAAGTGCTAAAAATTAAAAAAAAAAAAATTGAAGGCCCAATGTCATAATAAAAATGAGCCAGAAGTATTCTATCTGG